TTCGATTAACGCGGGGATACGCGTACGAATGTGCGTCGCTCGACGATAAATGTTACGCGCAAACCGCTCAATTCTTTTTCACGCTAAGGGCCGTCGCAACAATTGATTAATAATTCCGCCGATAATACCGGAATAATAATAGATCGATCGTTCCGCTTGAAGAGAATTATCGGATCGAATGTTTTCTGTTGGGAGAAAATTGAAACGCTTGGCTTAATCAAGAGTTCTTTTTTTCTTCTGCTGTTTCTCTAATTAAATGCGCCATCGCTTGAATATCCGAAAATTAGACTCGCTCGCAGCATTTTATGTCAAATCTTCGGACTTAATCGGATATTATCGGACGTTAAATTGATTGATTATATAGAGTAACGCGTCTATTATTCGGCAGCGGTATATCGCCGCTGAATGCCGCTGAATACGCATACTTAATTAAGGTTCCATCAGCGCGACGGAAGAATATTAATTGCACGAAATAATTGACATATTGTGTGGCGTAATTAATCGTTTACGATGATGTAAAGGATTTCAAACGAAGGCGCCCACCTTGCTCTCGCCCCGCGCTCTCCTTTCCCGTGGGAAACGCAAATTGCTCCAGAAAGAGACGATACGAAAATTGCGTGTATCGGATTAGCATATTCGCAATCGCTCGCTCTGGCCGTCGGCCGTGCCTGTAATCGAACTTGCGCATCCAGTCAACGACGACGGAAGTTCCGATCGACGCGCAGTAACTTTATTATCGGTTTAAATCCCATTAAAAGTTTCCCCCTCCCCCCCCCCCGTGCTGCCGGTTCGAGAAGATAGCGCCGATTTGTTCGTGTTTAGTTTAGGTCACGCGAATTCTCGAGGCCGCAAGTCCGACTCCGTTTCTCACGTTTCTCATTTTATCTTTCAACGGCGTTTCTTCATTTTCACACGTTTCAACCAGTTTTATTATCCCTCTTGTATACGTGTCCCTTATTTCGCCACCATTGAAACAGTTATTTGAACATTAACACGGCCTAAACATCCGCGCGAGAACGAACAGTTCACCGCTAAATGGTTTATCGGCTTCCTTCAACTGTCATATAACTCATTTTTCCGATTTGTTACGCTGTGTTTGTATAAAAATTTACACGAAACTCTCTTTAAGAGTTTCAAACTTTTTCTTAAAATGATATAATTATTGAAGATACTATAACACTGGTAAGAAAATATCTTAATCCAAAAAAATATTACTTTACTCAAGAAAATTATTTGTTAGGTGGCTCCTAATTGCTTATTAACTTAAATTTAAAAAATAGTAAACAAATTAAAACATGCATTGCTTTTAAGTATTTATTAAATATTAAAGAATGGATAATTTTATACTCAAGAAATTTTATTTTAATTCTATAAAACGTTGACTAACAATACGATGTAATTTTCACAGCGAAGAAAATTGAATTTCTTATTTAAGAGAAACAATTATTTTATTTAATAAATAGCGTTCTATATATCATAAAATCTTTATTTGAATGTAGAAAATGTGACGATTTAAATTAATTTACTTAATATAATACATAGATTTACTTGAAATTTGATATTTTCCTTTAAATAGAATAAATATTTACTTAAGTATAAAAAAATAATTTTAAGTAAATCTATTTACTTAGTTAAAAAATTTTCTTTTGTCAGCGTAAACTTTGTGTAAGTATACGACAAGTTTAGCTTCGGTATTTTTCTATAAATAACTCACTTTTCTAAACGTACCGCGTGCCCTCCGACGAATGTCGAGAGGAAAATTGCCAGTCGAGTTACTTCAAGGTCTCCGATCCATCTCATTCGACATAAAAAAGGTCGAAATAAAGCGGTTCACCGAACTACTTGCGAATTTCATCGAGTCTATGTCAAACGGATGGGGCTTCGGTGACAGCTAGAAGTTAATTGGTAGTCAAGATACGGAGCTCAGGTGTCAAAGGGCTTTCGATTCCCCGGCCCTTCTAATGCGTCGCCTTGACGTTGCTCGTCGGACCGTTAAAAGTTGAAATAAATCGCCACTTTTGCGAGGGTCGCGTCAGATCGCGAAATGAATGGCAGCCATAAGAGAACAACTCAGTTTCATCATTTTCACAGCGTGGCATTTCGCGCATTTCGCAACGTAATTATTAACGCAGTTTTTCCGACCAAATAATTTATCACGCTTCTCTCGCGTAATGAGAAAAGAGTGGTTTTTTTATCTATTGAACGGATCGTTCATCGCGCGTTGCAAAATTGCGATGTTTTTTCCCCATTTGAGGTTTCGATGAACGTTATTTTTAGAAGACAGATAAAATAAATACGTTTCGTTTCGCACACACATGAATGGGTGCTAAAGTCTGATTCGCGTTTAAATAGAAAATAGAAGTAAAGGCAAGAATAAAAAAGAAATTTTACTTACAATCATTTTCCAAAACCTTTGTCCACGGTAAAATTTTTCTACTAAATTTTTTACAACTTGGTCATCGACCTTCCACATTTTGAGGGAAACCGATCTCGAAAAGCATTTTAATTAAGATATTTTTTTAAATGCCGTGATGTTTATTTACTCGAGGGGTCTTCGGGGGTGTAGCCACTCTACGTCCATGCGATGGTCTATCAAACCATTGAGTGAGACGCCACGCACAGTAAAATTTTTCTACTAAATTTTTTACAACTTGAACATCGACCTTTCCCGACATTTTGAGGGAAACCGATCTCGAAAAACATTTTAATTAAGATATTTTTTTAAATGCCCTG